TTTTGTTTCTCTATTTCACACACTGCCTGACCTCAAAACCATGATTTGTTTCCTCCACAACCCTCTTTGCCCAGTCCTCAGGGTAGTGACCAGCCCCCCCCCAAAAAATATCGCCAGTTAAAAATCATACTGTAGGAAGAGAGGAGGGTAGAAAACAATAGCAGAGTTAGAGGCGTAGATAGGCCTCCTGAAATAACACCTCCTGCCTTATTTGGGGCAAAAAATTTACTTTATCTTGTCTGCTGTTCTCCAGCTTCTGTTGCACTTCCTGCCTGAAGAGAGGGGCCAACTTGTCATGAGAAGCAGGGCAGACAGCGCACACTGTCTGCACCAGGGAAGTGTTGTCACAGCAGCTCCACCTGTATCTTTTACAGTTCTGGAAGACAAAAATATTCACATTCTTAACAGATTAGAGGAGTTGAAGCTGTTGACTGATGAAATGAAGATTTTGAATTAGGAAAAAAAAAAAAGTATGACTGCTGAAAAAAATTACAGAGTGGTCACTACTTAATCATACATACAAATTAGCCAATAAATTTTAAATCACTTGAGGGGAGAGAAAGAAGGACGTAACTAAAAATCCAAATCTCAATTTTATTCTACTTGTCTGAATAATAGAGGAAAGGGAAATTCTCGTTACTTGACAGAACTTGACAATTCTCACAAACACTCTTCAAGTGTCACCCTCCTGGCTGACACAGAACCGTAACAGGCAATACCATAGGATTATTACACTTTTTATTACGCACTGCATCATTGTACCAGTAAGTATACTCACATCACTAAGATTTCTTTTGCATGTGGTAACAAGGGTGTGTTACTCTTCCTTTCATCAACTCACAGCCCAGCAGTCTGTCCAACATTACTGCAAGACCGTATGTGTTGGCAAGGGGCTGAAACAGAAGGCTTTGTCAAGTTGCCCTCTTTAAGGCTGGAGTACAAAATGCTCCAAGTACAAGAGTGCTGATGGTTGCTGCGGACAGAGGACAGTCACCCTCCACCAGCTCCTCCCTGTCCCCAGCCAGAGGGAGAGGCTGGGCGCACACCACCACTCCCTACAGTGGGACTGAGCTGTGCAGAGCAGAGTGAAGCACAAGATGAGCACCAGGAGTATCAGGACTGCATTGCTAACCGATTACTCTGCTGTCCTCGAGACCTCCCCTTGCAATACCGCACCGCCGCTACCACAGCCTAATGCTAACTTCTGCATTTACACACCAGGAGAAGACAACAAAGCAGTTTGTCTGTGAGTATTTAAGCATAGCAAGCTTTTCTCTAGCAGTCCTATCTTTACCGATTTGATTAGAATCAGGGATATTAAACTTTAGTCTGCAATAGTTACTTGCCCAAAGAAGTTTAAATCTAGAAGGTGGTTGCTTTAAAACTAGTTTTGTATGTGAGCAGGAAGTCATGAGAAATTCACCACCACAGACATGCTCCATCTCCCTCCCATTACATCTGCTGCACTATTTAGTGGTTTCTGGTTTACTTGGATATTAGATAACAAATTATAGGGGGAAAAAGGTACTTGCCAGCAAAGGATCAAGCACTCTCGAGTTGGCTTTTTTTAGAATGCATCTTCCAACAAATGCAGGAAAATAGAAGTGTTATTCAAAGGTGCCTTTCAAATCACACTAGTATGCAGATTCTGAGTGTCCTAACTGAACAGCTACTATGAAAGCAATACATTTATAGAAAAAGCCTTCAAAAAAAAAAAAAAGGCTTGGAAGAGTTATAAGAAGGCTTTTCTGAAAGCATATAAAAATAAAGTAACATTGCTAGACTATCTGAACATTCTTCATAAAAAGACACTCAGTTTTCCCTTTCATAAGAAACACCATAGAGTTCAAGAGAACAACATAGATATTTATCATCCTCTGCCCTTTAAAAATCAAAGGCAACCAATTATACCCAAGTTCTCTCTCATACTTGCATCTTAAGAAGAAAAAGATTAGGAAAAGAAGAGTGATCTTTACAACTTCTCTTCCCATTCCTTCCTTTATTTTGCTTGTCCAGTTATACAGTATCTCTTTACGTAACATCAAGTGCCTTTGCAAACAGAAACACCTACGTTTATCAATAAGCACAGATTAGAGCTGCTGATACAGTCACAGATCGTGTAATTTCTGTGACAAATCCTCTAGGATCCTAGCACAAAACCACAGGTTTATGCGTGGGTGGGGAGAAAGGCAGACCTAGTTCATGAGTTTTCCTCAGCTCTTCCAGCTTTATTCAACAAAATATACCAACAATTACACAACAGCAGCAAAGCCCAGAAGGAAAACCTAGCACTCACCATATTCTCTTCATTTGGTGTTGAGCTCTCTTCTACACATTACATACAAACTTACTGGGGGGCAAAAAAAAAATCTGCCTTGAATCTACTTCACAGGCTGAGTTTAAGTCCCTAATTTCAAACAGTTTATGTCACTTCTCATCCAACAGATGACCCAAGCTCGGAAGGGGAAAAAGTAAATGAATTGAAAAACTGAAACGCACCTTCAACACAACTGAAGCAGAACACTAACTCCAATTAAAAGGCAAGTAAACTTATTTAGCTGGTTACCCTCTCAACCAAGAGGGAAAGAAAAACCAATTCACCAACTGCTTTGTTACTCAAAAGAAAAGAAAAATTCTTAATCTTCTCAATGAACCCATACAAATCTACTATCTCATATTTACTTTTGCAAAGATGGAACATATTGAAGCCTATCTTTGACTTCATTCTTGAAACTGAAAATGGAAGAATTCTGGAGCAATGTCTCTTTCAGATGCACCACTGCAAGTCAGACACCAACTGTAATAAAACAGTATTTAATTTCTGAATTAGTTATGTCATACTCTATAAAAAGAGGGGACCTAACGACAGTCTTATCAACCTATCAATCTGGAAGCAGACACATAAATTACTCTGTCTACATATGTTGAAGTCAGAAAGATATGCTTTCCAGGTTTGTTCTGCATGTGGTGGTGAGCACTGGTGAGGGTAAAGAACGGGCAAAGAAATCAGCTGCTCCTGCTATTTTGTAGCTTTCAGTATAAAACATGTTAATGTCTTCATACCAAATAAAATATATTTAAACTGAGACTTTGTACGAGCATTTAAAATCCTCCCCAAAACAAAAGCCATGCTTTATATTGAAAAGCGAAAAGAAGGGCCTCCTTACCCATACATCATCCCAGAAAACACTCCTGTGTGGCTGTTTGCAAATGATACGTCAAACAAACATACTAAGACATTTCAAGACTGTAAAACAAATTATTTCAAATTGTCAAGATACATCAGCAACACCAATCAACAGATGCTTCAGGAAGACTCTAAGATATGCAGATCATGCTAAGACCACTTTCCAAGCAATAGGCAAAAGAAACCACACAGTTCTGCAGTCAGCAGTAAAACTATCCCAAGAAAACTGCTTTTGAAAATCGACCACCATATCATCATGGGACAATGGCTTGAATTTCAACCAGCACGTTCCATATGCACAGCAAATCCCCAGGGTCATATGCTATATGACTTTAACATTACCATTATGCCCATAAACTTTCCCATTTCCAATTAATAATACACACGGCACCCTGAAAGTCAATCCTTCCTTCTGGAAGGCCTTTGTGCTTTAGGGCATAAAGCAGACTTAAAAATACACCTGCCACTGCAAATACTATGTGGACTTCTTTTAATAAGCAAATACAAACATATAAAAAGATTTTTAAAACAGCATATGTGGAAAAGCTTGAGCTGTACCAGGCAAGGCAATTTTGAAGCAGTGCAACGTTGCGACAGTTCTAGCCCGATAGACCAGAATCTAGCTTGCTGCTGCCACCATCTCCTTAAGAACAACTGGAAGCTCACCTAGAGTATCCACAGAAACTTTGTGCATCTCGGAAAGGCACACGACAGGGTACCAAAAGGCACATTACCACAGAGGCTTCAGCTCTTGTAGCCTAACAAAAAGAGCGCTCCATCTGGGTCAACACTGACTTTCTGACTAATCAGGAGTCTGACCAGACTCCAGAGCTGTGTGCTGCCATTCTTTTTTTTCCTTGTTTACATGGACAAGACCTGCGGACGCAGCCTGGGCAGAAGAGAGGGAAAGAATTTTAGGAGGACTGTTCATATTTTGTAGTCAGTAGATTAATTTCCTCCCCTTTCCAAGGTCTAAGCACATACAAAGAATTGACGGCTGTTTTCTTGCACAAAGTACAGCAGCCAGGATGAAAATCAGTGCATTCGAGGACAAGACTAGAGCCTTCCTTAATATTTCAGTTCAGTCCATCATCTTGATGAGCCTATGAATACTAACAAGCAAAAATAAGTTCAATAATAACTGCAAAGTAAGCATGCAGAGGGGAAAAACCCTACAGATTCTGTAATTAGCTCTACTAACAGTAAATGGAGAGCCATACAGTTGAGAAACATTGCTTATCCCTATTTGTACAAGAGGCTCCCTCTGTTTCCTTCCATTCTGAAGCAGCACAAAAGACAGTCGCTGTTGCAAGGAAGAGAAGACCTACTCTTCTGACATTAGCTTTGTGTCAAACTTCTTAGCCTTGTATCCTGATAGCTTTAAAGTGGAGATGATTTAGAGACGCATAGGCTTAATAAAGAAAAGTTTGGCTCTATCAGCTACAAGCACAGAACAAATCAACTCTCTTTTGAGCAGATATATCTTTTTCATGGGAGGCTAAGCAAAAAAATTGATCATGATACTTAGGAAAAAATCGTATTTCCGATTATACCAAGACAAAACGCTGATTGCGAAACTCTTATTTAACACATAATAAGTTTGTATCTAGAATTTAAAAAGATGTTTCAGTACACTTAGCATCTCAAACCAGAAAAACAAAGCATCTGTACAAGAAACCTGAAAGAAAAACATCCCACATATCCACTATATTTACATATTCCCCAAAATGTCCCCCCATACTAAAACATTTGAGTTTCAACACTTATTTACACCTTTATATTCGTAAATTTTAAATTAATAAGACGTTCTTACCTGTATATCCTGCCCACCAGCCCCAGGAAGCCACCATAGCTAAAAGCCACTTAAATAACACTCCTTCGATATACCAGAAGCTTTTACTATCCAACACTCGGAGAGGCTGCAGGATAATTAAATACAAGACGTAGGACGGAATAGCAACCAGGTTATTGGCGACCATAAAAGCGAACCTGAGGAGTGCTTTCAGACAGGTATAGCCCACCCGCCGGGCCTGCTCTAGAGTCACGGCCATCGTCTTCACAGCGGAGGGCGCGGGACCGTCCTACGGGGAGAGGAAAAACAAGGCGCAGGTAGCGCCCTGCGAGCGGGGCGAGGCGAGGCGAGGCGAGGCGAGGCAGGGCAGGCTGCCCGCCGGCCCCCGACCCGGCCCGGCCCGCTCCCGCCGCTACCCCGCCCCAGGGCAGGCAACGAAGGAAGCGGCGCGGCGCGACCCTCCCGCCGGCGCCGCAGCGGGGGCCGCCTCCCCTCCCCTCCGCTCCGCTCCCCTCAGCCGGCTCCGGGGCACCCCAGCCCGCAGCTCCCCTGAGGGGAACCACACGCGCGGTCCCAGCCGGCCTCCATCTTCGCCCCCCGCTCCCCCCCCCCCAAAAAAAAAAAAAAAAAAACACCACCCAAAACCCACGACCTCGGGCGCTAAGGCGGCTGCCGGCGGCCTCTTCCCCCCGCCCCAGAGCGGCTGACAGGAGCCCGGGCCCGCGGGCGGCGCTGAGCCCGGCCGCGGGACTCACCTCCGGCAGGGCGGCGGAGCGGCGGCGGAAGCGGCGGCGGGGCTGGGGGAGCTGGGCCCGGCGCTGGCGGCGGCAGTCCCGGCTGGCGGCTGGCGGCGGCTCATGGACCCGGAGGTGACTGGCCCGGCCGCGGCAGCGCTACTCGCCCTGCGGCTCCCTGCGGAGAGAGAGAAGGGGGGGTGGGGGGCGGGGGGGGGCGGGCGGCGTGAGCGCGGGGGCCGGCGGGCGGGGAGGCGGGAGCGCCGGGCCGGGCGGGCAGGCGCAGACCGCGGGTTCACCTCGGTTCCCCCGCGCCGGCGGCTGAGCCGAGCCGGGCCGGGCCTGGCACCCCTTCCTTTCCTCCCCTTCCCCTTCCCCTCCCTGCCCGCCTGCTCGGCGCCCGCGGGTGGGACCGCGCCGAGCCCCGGCCCCGCGAGGTCCCCCGCAAGGGGAGGACCCCGCACCTGTTGGGGGGAGTCGGTACCTCGGCACGGCCGCGGGCAGCGCCGGCCGCCCGGGGTTCATGCCGGCCGCTGGGGCCGCGCTCCCCGCCCCGCCGGCTGCGTGTCCGCCGTGACCGCCCGCCCGCCCGCTGCCGCGGAGCGGGGCTGGCGCTGCAGCGAGCGCCGCCCCGCGCCGGAGAGCGGCGGCCGGCTGCGCCCCCCCCCCCCCCCCGCACGCCCACAGGCACGCACGGACAGGCGGACGCGCCGACCGACGCCGGGCACCGGCCCGCGGGATGGGGCAGGAGCCGGGGCTGCTCCTGGAGCGGCCCCCGGGGCTTCTGTTCCCTGAGCGGGACGGCTCCACGCCGGCGCCCCCCCGCCCTCGGCGACCTCCTGCCTCAGTCCGTTTTGGCAGCTGCCTTCCTTAAAGTTGGGTAACGGGGGAAAGTGCAAGAGGCGACACTGGCACGCGTCCCCCCGGCACCACCAGAAAGACGCTTCTGGCCCGGACAGCACCAACAGCTTTGTTTCGTGTCTGTAGTCCTAAGTCCCTTTCACATACTTTTTCACAGAGGAATTTTTCCAGCTTGCCTGCCGCCACAAACACCATCGCCTACCGCGAGAAAAGCCCCTGCGCAAGTCTCCGAGTGACAATACCACTGGACCCCGGCTCAGAAGCAGTCGAGAGGGGAAGAGTTCACAGCCCCCTCCCGACAACCTGCACCCCCACAAAACCGCTCCAGGGTGAGAAATTTTCACCTGCTGGGTAACTGCATCAGCCCTTGTGGAGACACAGGAGGGTTGCCTCTTCCCCATTCACTGCCTGTGTCAGACTCAAGCCTGTTCCTCTTTTCTCTAACCCCTGTACAGGCCGTGGAAGAGCACGGTCAGACCTCCCTGAGCCCTCTCCGGACTGATCAGGCCCCATTTCCTCGGCTTAGTTCTCTATTACGATACCTATGCTGAGCAGAATGGCTTGTCCAAGTGATTTTAACTCTGGCTTCATAAGGCATAGAAGCAGATGAAAAACAACTACACCTTAAGGAGACATGCTAGAAGGCCTTTTGCACTGGAAAAGAAATAGCAAAATTTTCAGGTTGTAATACTTAGACTGCAAAATATACCTCTTTCACATACAAACCACACCATGTGTAAAGCTAGTCCACTGTTTCCTAAACAATGAGGCTTCAGAGATGACTGTACCATCAACAAAAATAAATCCTAATCTTCATTCCAGAAAGAAAACAAAGTTGTTATTGCAGATAAATTTAATTTTAGAATTTAAAAATGTAAACAACCAAATAATGCCATCATGTTCTACTTGAACAAAACAGAACTGCTGACCTTCTTGAGAAGAAGGACACATCTTGCATAAGTGTTTCCAAGTTTGGGTGTGTTTCTGTCTATGTTATTTTTATTACTAGGTTAAATCTGACAGTGTACTCAGTAATCATTATGGAGTTGGCTTAAGCTGTTCTGAAGTGTTACCAGCTTCAGTAAGACTTGGGTTTGGTTTTTGGTGTTATATTTTTTTGGTTTGGGTTGTTTTTGTTTGGTTGTTTTTTTTTTTTTTTCCTTCTGTATCTCATTCAAGCAACTCTGGGCATACATTTGAACTTAGCAAAATTTTGCTCCAAAATCCTCAAATAGAACAAGGACAATTTTTAGGCCATAATTAAAGTTACATTTTCATTTTTACATCCCAACAGCAAAATGAAGCCTTGTTTATATATTATTCCAAGATGAAAAACCTTCATTACAATATTTTTTTTTAATTTGGTATCTTTTAATAATTTTATTCATATTGTACTATTTGGAATATTATTCTCAAATCTGATGCATGGAAATGAGGGACTGCAGAAATTATGTTAGACAACTAATGAATTAGTCAATTTATATTGCAGAAAGGAATTGCACATGGGGAAGCAGGCATACAAAGCATTCTTTGTCAGAGTGACTGCCTTAAAGCTTAGGGAAGCTGTGGTTTAGCATTTTGCTGAATGAGCTAGTAGGAAAGACCCAGCCCTACTCCTCATTTCCTGGCCTTCACACGGTAAACCCAAGTCCTAGGAAGTGTGCACAACCAAATACCCCTTACGGATCTTGAGACGCCTGCTGTCTGTCATCCAGTCTGAGCCTCGGAAGAATCCTTTCTAGTATAAAGTAACATGTACTGTATATATGTATATCTGAGCTTCATGAGCTTTCATTATATATTGTTTGTCATTTTATTATTATAAATGCAAAAAAAGGCAAAATGTAAATATAAGCAATTCTCAATTTGTAGCCTTTTAACCATTTCTCTAAAGTTTACATATTTTTTGACTGACTGCCCACCTGTAACCATGTGCTTTCAGCCTCACGAAAATACTGACAGGGATGTCATAGTCATCATTATAAAAATACATTTTAGTGTGTTTATTAACGGGTAGATACAGATACTAACATTGGTAGTGTTAGGTAATTAACTTATGTCAAGGGTTGCTGGAGCAGATAACTAAATATTGGAGTTGTCTCCCACTCACCTCCAAAAAAACCTACAGACCAGAACCATAGAAAAAGGTTAGACTTATTCCTGCCCATAAGAAGGAAAAACATTATTACCAAGATGGGGATATTACACAGTAATAAACACATCTGTTATATTCAGTCACTTTAAAAAGTTACCCAAAATAAATAGCATATAAATTACTGCAAGGGAGCTGCACAGTCTGAAAGATTCTTAATTCACACAGGCTGGATTTGATCACTGTATCTGGCTGCAAGATTCAAGTCAGGTTTAAGTCATAAAACCCTTGTGAGACTTTTGAAGAAGATAACATTGTTTTGTCTCTGGGTGCATTTCAAGAAGTAAATTAGCCACTGTCCTTCTCATATGCTACTGTTCAATGGCACATATTTGCATTCCAACTTTGCCGTAGCATTAGAGCGGCCTGCAAGCGTAGCTGCAAGGAGGGAATGCATTGCAGACATTCAAGTAGTCCACAAGTAACAAAGGCACGGATAACCATAATGAAATCCAGGTTCAAAGCTGTAAACACTAAAGCAACTAAAAGATTTGTTTCTGGAGTTCAGAAACAAAGTTTTGGAACGCTTTTGAACCTCTGCCTGGGTCAAAGATTGGGAAATAAAAAGCTGCTCATTTGTCCCAATGAGATTCAATCAGTTCTCTGTGCTTGCTTCGCTTGTAGCAAACTGAAGTCACAGATGCCATATGGTGGGAGAAGAAAGTGTCAGGAGGATGCACCTGTGTGCTAATGACACTAAAACCAAAATTGCCTTTAAAAATCATAAAGGACTGTCATACAGAGAGCAAAGACAAGAAAACAGCCTCAGAGTTTTCAGAAATTCTACAGAGCTGAAAACAACTACTGTTTCCAACCTCACAGAAAGAACAACTTGCTACTTGGGAAATCGTATAAAATTTTATTTAAAAAATAGCATGACAGAAAAGATGAAAGTAGACAAAACTGCCATGAGGAACTACAAAGATGGGAGCATGTGCAGAGCACAGACTGCTGGAAGATGCATAACATGAAATAGGGCGTATACTCAAGGGAGCATAAATCCAGAAAGCATCAAGTGAATTAAGTAGTTAGCATTAGATTTGGAAAGGTAACACTTAAAAGAAGCACCAAGAGCAACTTAACAACTATGTTTTCTATAGGCTGGAATAAAAAAGAAGGGAAAATAACTGGTAAGGAAGAAAAAAAAAATAAGTTGTGGGCCCTTTAAAAAAAAGATACAATTAAATTTTAACCTCCAATTCTGAGCTGCTTTACAGAGTGTCACATACCCTAGTGAGGTAGATTTTTGCATTGCTGTTTTCAGAACATTAAACATTTCATTCATTTTCATTATAATGGTTAAATCTTCCAAAATATTCTGTAACAGTAGCTTCTATTACATCCTCTATATGAGAGGCAAAATCACTTCCATTCTCCAAGTACATTCTTAAACTTAAAGGCAAAATCACTTCCATTCTCCAAGTACATTCTTAAACTTAAAGGACAGTATCAGTCACTCCATCTCTACCAGCTGTACCTCAGGAGAAGCAGAGCAAACAGGCTTGTTAAAGTCCCTTGATCTTCAGTGGCAAGATGTTCTTACGTCCTTTCTCTTACTCATCCAACAGTAGACCACGCTTTTTAAAAGCTCTACTTTCAATAATCTTTTAGATACATGAGTTCTTTTTGAAGACATCACATCACACACAAGATGCAAAAGACAGGCCATTTTCCGTTTCTGATTTTTCTCCAGGAAGTAAATGTTAACAGATTATTTGGTCTTTTGGTCTTACTTGCATCTTAATTCTTTTAAGGATGCTTCAGGATAACATGAAGGAACTGTTAAAATGGTATTGTGACATTATCACTTGTTACATACCTGTATTTATGTAAAAAGGCTTTAACTGACCTGTCACAGGGCTCAACCCCTAACAAGCTGCCTTCCCTTGCCCCCAACTCCAGATCCCTCATGCAGTATCCCTCACCAAGATCAGCCAGCTGCAGACACGTCAGCCTTGCCAGTTCCTACAGTTCTTGTGTACAGAGTTGTCATTGTTGCTCATTTTCTCTAATATTTTAAGCTCTTGGATTACAGCCTAAGTTTTTTTGCATTAAAAATTATAAGCCTCAGAGAAAGTGTTGCAAGTGTGGCCAAAAATTTCAGCCTCATGATGAATGCATGCTCTTTGTTTCCCCCCTCTGCTAGCTTGAGTTGACATCAGGCCTCAGACAGCGTTAGTTCTAACAAGACTGCATCACGCTAAGTTAAGGCCTTGAGGTTTTTTAGGGCCATTTTTTTCCTGGGAGAAGGTAACAGAAGATTTCCTGGTTTTATATAATCTATATAAACACACAATCAAATAAGCCAAAGAAGCCAAAAAGTTATTGTTAGGGTAAGAGAGACTAAACAAATAGAAGGTATTTCTTCCGAGTAAATAAAAATAGCATTGAAGTTGCAGTGTCATGTTGTTCGACCCCAAATCTGTTTTGTCAGGTTTTTTTTCATTTGTTTGGGTTTTTTAATCAGGAATAATTAAATATTATGCAAGTTGGATTGTTACATAGTTCTTCGAATTAATATTTAATTCCAAAATTTCTGTAAGCCTAAATGAGACCAAGTAAAAGTTTTATAACCAGGTATTATTGCATTTGTTATTTTGTTTTGCTCTAGGGAATTTTATATAGTTTTACACTGACAGAACAACAAACTTTGGCTCCAGTGAGGAAACATCCCCTCACATTCCACTCCAGTGCAATGCTTGGAATTCTGTCCAACATAAAGTAAAAATTAAAATTTAACACACAGCTTCTGGGGAGAGCAAGCTGAGCCATAGCCAAGGAGGCCATATGACATGGAAGAGACAGCTACGCTAAATCGGTACAAGTACACATTATCAAGTGTGCTACGGGGGAACCGAGAAGACCACTCACATCTAATTCTGGGTTTGGCTGTGGTCCTGTCACTCCGTCTAGTTAGTCCTGCACCAAAATGGATCTTTATACAGTGAAAAATCTCAAGAACATGTGTACTGCACTCTCCCTGCTCTGCATTTTGGATTGAGCTCATCTGTTGGATTACTGCTGCTCAATTTAATTGGCAAACATAGTTGGGTGCTCTCTATGGGAATGTATTTTTTCCCATTTGATAGCTAATTCTTATTTATTATGTGTTTTCTAATGGTTTCCTGAGGCCAAGGCAGGGTCAAACTAGATTTTCTAGGTATGAACAAATGTAAAGTGATATAGTTCGTGAAATTTTTCAGGTGGAGATTATGTTCTAAAATTTAGAAGTACTCTGTTATTTCTGATTTGTCAAGGGTTTGTTTTTAACTATTCTTGGACACATTATTTCCTCTGTAGCACACAAAAGCAGTGTGATAACCAGTATCTGTACTACTTTCACCACAAAGAATCTAAAGAGACTTTAAGTATAAGTGATATGATGTTTCAGTCAAGGCTATCCTGATCTCTCAAAAAATTTTGGGTAGATTCATGTCTGAATGTACTTACTCTTTCTACAGCATAGCAAAACCAATCAAGGAAGTTTGGAGCTGGGAAAGAACAGCACATTAATCTTTGTTCATTCACTATTTGTAAGAAAGGTGAAAAAATAAAATACATCACATCTGAACCAATTTGCCAGTTATTCAAGACTAGCAGAAGGTGAGGCAGATGTAACCATCTCTCCCTTTCTTCTACCAGCTATATGCAAATTTCATAATTTTCCACCTAGGCAGAGCTTGTTAGCCTTTACAACAATGCCACTCTTGGATATTCCATTCCCATCTGTTTTACATAAAACATATACATCATCTTTATAATTTTTCTGGATGCTTCTGGCATAGCATATCAGGAATACAAGCCCTCTTGTTGCAGCTACATGTTCTCTAACTCAAATGCAGATCTGGTAGGACTACTTGTAATGTATTTCACAGTTGTCCAAATCAATATCACCTTCAAAAACGGAAAAGTTAGCTCTCAAAAAAAGTTAGGTTTTAAACAGCTAGCACCCTCAAAAGGTATTTCAGTCTCCTTAAAGATGCAGAAGTTAACTTGAAGTTCCCTTTTCTGGCTACAGTTGTAAGGGTATAAGTTAAGCAAAAGCATGAGTCTCAGATTTGTGACTTGTTTGTTTCAACAAAATACACATTTTGATGTGACTCTCAACATTGCAGTAACCTAATATACACAGCTCCCAACAGGAAAA